AGAAGGGCTGAAGCGCTGCGCTGTGGCCGCGTCTCTGTACGTGGGAGCCCAGTGTCGTGGGCTCCACGGCTGGCATCCCACCCTGCCACCCAGAGGCAGAGGTGCCATCGTTGCAGGTGCTGCAGTCAGCTGGAATTTGATTCCAGCTGCTCAGAAAAGATGTTCTCCTTAATTACTCTCCCTCACCCTAAAGGAAACAATGGAACAACAAAGGAAAAAAAGTGCCACCTCCAGCTGCAAGCAGAAGAGGTTTCACCAACACTTTCCCTGGACTAGGAAGAAAGTTGGTTACGGTGATCTACTTTAGGAATAAGTAGAGTGCGAGGTCAAACAGGCTTTCCTTAGAACTCAAAATATGTTATGTCATTCTCCTAAACTCAGATATTAAGCAATTACTTCCAAATTTTATTATTTAAAAGACTGAGGTCACTCTTAAAAACTGATAGGAATTCAAACTAACTTGTTTTAGTGGCATATTTTTTTTTAATGTTTTTTATTTATTTCTAGGAGAGAGAGAGAGAGAGAGACAGCGTGAGCAGGGGAGGGTCAGAGAGAGAGGGAGTCACAGACTCTGAAACAGGCTCCAGGCTCTGAGCTGGCAGTCAGCACAGAGCCCGACGCGGGGCTCGAACCCACGAACCGCGAGATCATGACCTGAGCGAAAGTCGGACGCTTAACCGACTAAGCCACCCGGGCGCCCCTAATATATACATTTTCTAATATACAATATATAATTTATAATATACAAACATATATATATGTATACACACACACACACAAATAATTTTCCTTCTAAGCACTGTTTGAGCTGCATCCCACAGATTCTGATATATTGTATTGTCATTANCTCCAGGCTCTGAGCTGGCAGTCAGCACAGAGCCCGACGCGGGGCTCGAACCCACGAACCGCGAGATCATGACCTAAGCGAAAGTCAGACGCTTAACCGACTAAGCCACCCAGGCGCCCCATTAGTGGCATATTTTTAAAGATGGTAATTCCTCTGAAAGCAAATTAAAATTAGAGATAATTTTAGTGCCAAGGAAAAAAAATCAAATGGGAATATCTCAAGAATCCAATTTTCTTCAGGAAATACATTAAGTAGTTTCTTAATCTCGGTATTTAAACTTCATTAGGTATGTTTAGAGGAAGGAAAAATGGAAGGAAAGGATGAAGGAAGGGAGGGAGGGAGGAAGAGAGACAGAGAGTGGGTGGGAGAAAGGGAAGGAGAAATGGACAGAGGGAGCAAAGGAAGAAGGAAAAGAAAAGGGGAAGAGGAAGGGAAAAAAGGACCGGGAAAGAAAATGGGAAAATTCAGTAGGAGATAACACACTCAAGTGTACTACAGAGTATTCTGTAGAAAGGCTGTCCTCACTTCCCCTCTAGGACACCATTTCTAAGAATGGGAGGGAGTAAATGGGGTATAGTAAAAAAGACTTGGCCCCTGAAGCAAGACAGACTAAAGGATCTTATGCTCTTGGCTAAATCTTTTAATCCCATTTAGCCTGTTTCCTTCCACCCTCTACAAGATTTTAGCCCCTCCTCTATATACTTATGGGGACACTGAGATATTGTGGGTAAAGCACCTAGCACACTCCTTGCACAGGACAGATGATCAATAAATGGTGAACATGATGGTGGCCGTGAGAAATGGGTTGAAGGCAGAGCCTAAATTACTTATGCTCACTCTATAGCACCTTTTTTTGAAAGAGCCAAGGTGACTGCAGACAATACTGCACATGCTATGTTCCAAATATGAAACAGAGGGACAAAAGCACAAAATGTACATGAGCAGAGAACTACCACCTATGCTCACTGTATTAAAGAAAACCCAAATCACTAGCAACTAAAAAGAAATAGTAGTTTCTCTACTTTGCGTCTTCACTGGGCACAGAGATAGGGGAGGAGTGTTTCTCAAACTGTTCATGTTACAGAAACTGGAAGGAAAATAAATGAGCTTTCCAAGAACGTGGGAAAAAAGGAACTCTCGTACACTGCTGGGAAAGCAAACTGCTGCAGCCACTCTAGAAAAAACAAAAATAGCACTGCATTGCTGGATATTTACCCAAAGAATACAAAAACACTAATTCAAAGGGATACATGCACCTTTATGTTTACAGCAGCACTATGCAATAGCCAAGATATGGAAGCGGTCCAAATGTCCACTGAATGATGAATCACTAAAGGAGATATGGTATATATATATATCTACACACCTACACACACATACATATACACAATGGAATATTATTCAGCCATAAAAAGGAATGAAATCTTGCTATTTGCAATAACATAGATGGAGCTAGAGAGTATAATGCCAAGTGAAATTAAGTCAGTTGGAGACAAATACCATATGATTTCACTCACATGTGGAATTTAAGAAACAAAACAAATGAGCACATGAGAAAAAAAGAGAGACAAACCAAGAAGCAGAATCTTTTTTCCTTTTTTTATTTTGAGAGAGAGAAAGAGAGAGAGCAAGCGAGTGCAGAGGAGCCTGATGTAGGGCTCAGTCCCACAACTCTATGATCGTGACCTGAGGTGAAATCAAGAGTTGGACACTCAATCAACTGAGCCACCGAGGTGCCCCAAGAAGCAGATTCTTAACTATAGACAACTGATGGTTACTAGAGGGGAGGGAGGTGGGGGGGTGGGGATGGGTGATATAGGTGATGGGACTAAGGGGTGCACTTGTGATGAGCGCCACGAGTTGTATAGAAGAAGTGTTGCATCACTACACTGTACACCTGAAATTGCAATAACACTATATGGTAACTGTACTGGAATTACAATAAAAACTGGAGAAAAGAAAATGGATGGGCTTTGGATTCAACAAGATCTGGCTTGAAACTGGGCTTCATTAGTTACTAGTTGGATAAACTCAGACATGTCTGTTCATCTCTGAGAGTCTCAGTCTCCCCATCTCCAAATGGAGAAAATAAGATAAACTTTAAGGGAATGCTGGGAAAAATGAACGAACTAGCAAAATAGGCACTCTGGCATATATTAGACATTAAAATAGCTTCTATTACATTAGGTTGAATCACATGAAACTGCTGATAGTCATCATTTATAACCTACAAAAACTGCAATTACACATTGTTTCACCTAATACTACAGTAACTGAGACAGTAAGTAGGCATGGACTGGAAAAACAAGTGAAAATTCTCAAGAATGCAATGAATTATACTCCTATCAGAATAGGAAGTGAACCAACATATAAAAGGTGTTTTTTAAGACTGCTTGTGATTTCAATAATAGAGCAGCTATTATTTATTAGATACTTACTATGGGGCAAACACTATACTATATATTTGACATCTATAATATTAGCTTAAGTGATCCCCAAAGAATTCAGTGAGACAGATTCAACTATTCTCCTCCTCATTTTGCAGAAGAAGTAGAAGCCTGGAGAAATGAAGTAACTTGCTCAATCAAGGTCACACAGTTGGTAAAGCCATGATGCCAACCCAGAGCTGTCCAACACCTGAGCCTGAGTTTTTACTTGTCATTTAAAATTGCCTCCAAACACTGCAAAAGCTGCTTGTTTTACTTTTAATAAAATTACATGTGGGCAAGGGACTAGAATAGACATTTCTCAAAAGAAAATATACAAATGGCCAATAAACACATGAAAAGATGCTCAACATCACTAATTAGAAGGGAAATGCAAATAAAAACTACAATGAGATACCAACTCACACCCATGAGGATGGCTACTATCAAAAAAACCCAGGGACACCTAGGTGGCTCAGTCACTTAAGCGTCTGACTCTTAAGCGTTAGACTCAGGTCATGATTTTGTGAGATTGAGCCCCACATCAGGCTATGTGCTGACAGCTCTGTGCCATCACCTGCTTGGGATTCTCTTCCTGTTTCTCTCTGCCCCTCCCTAGCTCATATACACATCTGCTCTCTCTCTCTCTCTCTCTCTCTCAAAATAAATAAATAAACTTAAAAAAAAAAACCAGAAAACTGCAAGATAATGAGGATGTGAAGAAATTAGAAACCTTGTGCACTACTGGTAGAAAAGTAAAATGGTACAGCCTCTGTGCAAAACAGTACGCAGTTTTCTTAAAAAATTAAAAATAGAATTACCAAATGACCCAGGAATTCCTCTTTTGGGATATACCCAAAAGAACTGAAAGCAGGGTCTTGAAGAGATATGCTTACACTCATGTTCAATGCAGCATTATTCACAATAGCTAAAACATGGAAACAACCCAAGTGTCCATGGACAGATGAATGGATGGATAAGCATAATGTGGTGTATACATACAATGGAACATTTTTCGGCCTGAAAAAGGAAGGAAGTTCTGATATCTGCTATAAAATGGTTGGACCTTAAGGATTATGCTAAATGAAATAAGCCAGTCACAAAAAGACAAATACTATATGATTCCAATTATACAAGATACTTAGAGTAGTCAAAATCATAGACAGAAAGTAGAATCGTGGCCACCAAGGGCTGGAGTGAAGGGGGAAAAAAGGGGGCGTTATTGTTGAATGGATATAGAGTTTCAGCCTTACAAGACAAAAAGAGTTATGGATATGGATGGCAGTGATGATTATACAGTAGTCACTCCCTTATTGGCAGTTCCACTTTCTACAGTTTCAGTTACCCATGGTCAACCATGGTCTAAAAGCAGATGGATCCTCCTTCAGACAATACTGTCAGGTCAATAACGGGAGCCTCATGCTACATCACAATGCCTATGTCACATACCTCACTTCCTCTCATCACGTAGGCATTTATCACTTCACAACACAAGAAGAGTGGGTACAGTGCAATAAGATATTTTGGAAAAGAGAGACTAAGACTATCCACAGTCTTTTTTTTTTTCTTTTTAGTTTTATAATTCATTTTAGGGTAACTGGTAATCATTAGTTAGCAATGGTTATCTTCAAAAGTTATACCAGCTGTGCTGTCATTTCTCAAGGATGATCAAATACCTAGAGTCACAGAAACAGCCCACAAAAGATGCATCTTATAAATCACACTTGGTTTATCACCACCACTGATAAAACCAGACGTAGGGAAAGACCTAGGTCTGGAGACACATGCATGGTATTATTACAGTGAATGTTTAGCTTGCCCTGATTATTTTAAAATCAGAACAGCAAGAATTGCAAACTTTATTACAGTATACTGTTACAGTTGTTCTATTTTTTTATGGTTAATCTCTTATTGTGCCTAATTTGTACATTAAACTTTATCATAGGTATGTATGTATAGGAAAAAAACCAGTACAAATGGAGTTTAGTACTATCCACAGTTTGAGGTATCCTCTGGGGGTCTTAGAACAGATGTCCTGTGGATAAGGGTGGACTACTCTATGACATTATGAATGCATTTAATGCCACTGCACTATATACTTCAAAATGGTTAAGATGGTAAAAAAACAAAAAACAAAAACACCAACTTAAAAAAAAACTGTATGGTCATAAGAAGCAAATAACTTACAAATCATATTCTGGGGCTTCCAAAGGATGGACACGTCAGTAGGCAAGCGAGCCCCAGTAATGACAGTATTTCATACCAGCACCTCAGTGACTAGGAGGAGGATACGTACAAAAGTTCCACTGCAACCACGGCCCTCCAGGGTACCACTTCTCCGATATCAGTGTTATTTAAAAGGAAAAAAAATCAGACATGTTTCAAAGTTTCCAGGAAAAATCCTAAAGTTTTAATCAAACAGCTGCCGTGTTTCCATTATGTTATATGACAAAGGCAGCATAGCTTTTCATTTATTTATTCATTTATCTATGTATGTTTATATCTCCTACTTCCTGAAACCTTTCATGTAAACAGTGAACAAGGCATCACAGAAAGGGAAATGGCACTGACAGTGGATGCTATGAATCTACTCCCTTTAAAAAAAGAATTCAAGTCAAGGAAATCCCTAAACGCCATGCTTTCAGAGCCAGGATTATAAAAGCAATCACACTTGCATTTAAGGTTTCTTGAAGCCGCCTCTGTGGCACCAAAATCCACCAAAGATAAAGAAGATGTTTGTGCTAAGTTGGGAAAGTGGAGACATCAGCATTTCTGCCTTCAGACCATTATTTCTGCTCTCCAGACAGCACCTGATAAAGCATCTAGAGTGTTGTCTTCTGCGCAGCCACTGCTCTTGTGAAGCTTGCGCTCAGGGGTTTCCCTGGGGTTTCCTTTCCGACAATTGCAACAGAGACTCTGAGAGGAGCCCAAACGAGCTGCCTTAACCTTCCCGTAAACTGATATTTCCATAGAGGATTAAGACAAACGTTTCAAATAAGCCAATTTCCTTTACTAAAAAACTAAAGTGACAATAGTAGTACCAAGAGAAATATACAAAGACGATGAATAAGACACGCTTTTCTTGTCTTTGGGCATGCAAAAATATAGAGCAAAAGGCTAGACGGAGTGGGCTACACAATTTCCTCTTATTTCTGAGGCTCTACATTGGAGCCTAATGAAAAGTTATACAAGAATTGCACCGAGGCCCTACCAAGGGGAAGAGGAAAAAAATCTAAATGCTTCATATTATCTGATATATGCTGATGCTGCATATATATATTTCTGTATTCTTGTTTATTATAAATTTTTTCTATTCAGAAGAATGCAACTATGTCTCTTTTCTAATAAGGCACTTCCAGAACTCTAGGGATGCCAAACGGTTCCCTGTTGAACTGGTGAGAATGAAAATCCCTATCTATCCTTGAGGTCCCTATAGAAGGAAACAAGCTTTCTTTTCCTAAAGTGTGTTAGGCAGTTCCCCCGGGCCACAGGAAGTCTGAATTCCCTTTGACTCAGAGGAGTAGGGATATATATATATTCTCCTGAACTAACAAAACAGAACACAAAAGAAAAAGCTAAAGTAGAGAATATACTTACTACATCCAAGTCTTAGAAAGCTGAAAAGAGCCAGAGGGCCTTCTTGGTTTTGGTCACCTGCCAAGCTTCATACTGCTTTCATCTTCTCCTTCTTCTTCTTCTTCTTTTTTTTTTTTTTTAAGTTCTTATTTATTTTTGAGAGGCGGGGAGGGGCAGAGAGAGAGAGGAAGAGAGATAATCTCAAGCAGCCTCCATGCTGTCAGTGCAGAGCCCTGGCAGGGGGCTCGATCCCATGAACCGTATGATTATGATCTGAGCCGAAACCAAGAATGAGATGCTTAACTGACTGAGCCACCCACTCAGTTTTACACTGTTACATGTATAATGTGAGATATTTCACATTTAACACTCTGTATTAACACCTTGACTACTTCCAGAAAGAGAATGGCTAAAATTAAAAACAGCTAACATTTATTCTATGTGTCAGGCACCAGGCTGAGCCCTTTACATATATTACCTCTTCTGACCCACAAAAGTGCCCTCACTTATCCTACGATACAGATAAATAAGCAATAAGAAGTTAAAAGAATCATTAAAAGTCACACAGCTAGAGAGAGAACTCAGAAGTAACCCAGGTCTGATGGGATTCAAAAGACCACAATCTTTAACTAACTATTATAATTCTCTTTAAAACCAATATATTTTTAAAGCCTTTTTTTTTTTTGGCAAGGAAAAGCCTTGTATTTTATTTTAAATCAACATTTTCATGAAATCAACAATGATGATCTATTTATGCATAAAATGTCTCTTTATATCTTGCTCTTCCTTCTACAATATTCTTTACATAGCATTTAATACAACACATTTTAAAAAATGTTCCGTTTTATTGAAGAACTTCTATTTCAGCCACATGGCAAAATATTTACCCTGACCAACAGTCTAACAGAAAACAACTAAAGATTTTGAGGAGCTCCTGGCTGGCTCAGTCGGTTAGTGTCCGACTTTGGCCCAAGTCATGATCTCACAGTTCATGGGTTTGAGTCCCGTGTTAGGCTCTGTGCTGGCAGCTCAGAGCCTGAAGCCTGCTTCGGATTCTGCGCCTCCCTCTCTCTGTCTCTCCTCTGCTCTCATCTGTCTGTCTGTCTCTCTCTTCCTCTCTCAAAAATAAACAAATATATATAAAGAAAAGATTTTGATAAAACATAAAAACATTCATTTTACCTAATTCAATAGGCTAGCAAGTATTTAAGGAATTCACAAAGGCTCCAAAATTAGGTAAAATGGGCAACGTAGAAAAGAAAACAGAACACAATTTTTGCCAATATTGATGGTATCTGCCAAACAAAGTGATATTAAGTATCTGCTTTCTTGGTCAGATGGATATACAGGACAGCCCATCCACAATCTGTAATAAAGCTGGAACTCCAAAAGCCCAGATGTGGTAGTAAATTAGAATTAAGGCTCCCCCACTTGACAAGGAAAACTTCATGTCCAAAACAAATTTCTTTTTCTCCTGAGACTTTATAACCACAACCTTCACATAAGATTTTCATGCCAAATTCACATTACCTGATGGATGGACCAGAAAGAGTCAAACCAAGAATTTAAAGCCACCCTGGCTGGCTCAGTTGATAGAGCATGCAACTCTTGATTTCAGGGTTGTGAATTTGAGTCCCATGTTGGGTATAAAGATTACATAAAAAAAAAAAAAAATCCTAAAAAGAAAAAAAAAAAAAAGTCATCCTGGGCTGGTAGTGGCCCCAGGTACCAGGCAGAAGCAAACAAACCCTTGCCAGAGGAATCGGTATGACTCAATAACTCCAAAAGAAAAAGTGGCAAAAAACGAATTGTTCCAGCCTCCAATTACAAAACAAAGAAAGCATCATGTAAAAGACCCACAAAGACTGGAGTTAACAGAATGATCAGAAAGAGAACAGAAAATAAATGTTTAAAGAAAAAAATTTTAAGAATTAAAAATATGCATAAGAGCAAGAGACTATAAAATCTTACCAGGATGTGATCTGATATTGTGGTTGGGTAAGAGAATGTCAGTACCCTAGGAGATACAAGCTGAAGTATTTAGGAGTGAATGGTAATTTTGAAACAGCTAAATAAAAGATAAAGCAAATATGGAAAAATGTTAACAATTAATGAACACAGGTGGTAGGTATAAGGGTGTTCAATGAACTATTACTGAGAAAATTATTATTAAATGTTTCTTAATAAAAAGTTTTAAAAATTACCAAGCAAGGGGGCACCTGGGTGGCTTAGTCGGTTAAATGTCCGACTTTCGCTTTGGTCATGATCTCGCGGTTTGTGGGTTTGAGACCCGCGTCGGGCTCTGTGCTGACTGCCAGCTCAGAACCTGGAGCCTGTTTTAGTCTGTGACTCCCTCTCTCTCTGACCCTCCCCTGCTCACGCTGTCTCTCTCTCTCTCCTAGAAATAAATAAAACATTTTTTTTAAAAAAAAAGAGATTCATTCCTAAATAATAGTATTACAACAGTAAAAAGAACAGAAAACAGGACTACATTAAAGTCTTTAAAAATGTATGTAGCTAAAACAGCAAAATAACAAGTTTGGGAACAAACACAAGTAATGTAAGTGAGTTTATTTCACCCATTAAAAGAAAACAGTTGTTTAGATTGGATTATGAAGCAAACAGTATCCCACGATAGAGCCAAGAGACAGTCTGAAACAAAGTGTATCAGAAGGGTTACAAATAAAAGGATGAGTAAAGATAATCCNTTTTTTTAAAAAAGCTTAAAAAAAAAAAATAAAAATTACCAAAGCAGGTTTTTAGAAGATCAAAATGGAATTTCTAGAAATGAAAAATCCAGGGGCACCTGGGTGGCTCAGTGGGTTAAGCATTTGAGGCTTGATTTTGGCTCAGGTCATGACCTCACAGCTTGTGAGATCGAGGCCAGCACTGGGCTCCAAGCTGATAGCGCAGAGGCTGTTTGGGATTCTCTCTCTCTCTCTCTCTCTCTCTCTCTCTCCCTCCCCTCCTCCCCTTCTCTGTCCCTCCCCTGGACACAAGATGCACACATGCTTACTCTTTCTCTCTTGAAATAAATAACTTTAAAAAAATAAAACAGGAAAATCCACTGACTAAAATTGTAAGTGCAATGTATGAGTCCCAAAGCTGAAAAGAGAATATATGAATTGGAAAATGGAACTGAAGAAATTCCCTAGAATGTAACCCAAAGAGACACAGAGAAAGTATGAAAACCAGGTTAAGAGACATGGAAGATTAAAGAACATATTCTAACAAGTTTAACTAGAATTTAAGAAGAAGAGAGGAATAAAGGTACAGAGGT